GGCCAGGCCCACCTGCGGGGTCTCCACCCTCGGCCGCCGCGCCGCCATGTTTACTGAGGGCGGGTGAAGCGGCCCGAGAAGCAGTAGAGGCGCGACCTCGGCGTCCGGGCGTACGGAACGAGGGACTGACGAGCCTGCAGTCCACTCAGAGGAGCCGAGCGACGGCGGAGGGGCTTCCGCTAAAAGGGAAAAATGGTGTGGTGCACGCCTGTAATCCTAGCACTCTTGGGAGGCTGAGGCAGTAGGTCGCAAATATGAGTTCCGCCTGGGCAATCTGGCGAGACGCTATCTCAAAAAAAGGAATGGGTATGAAGCTCAGTACAAAGGCCCTGGGTTCAACCCTCCGTATCGCAAAAAAGAAGAGGGAGTCCATAGGGCATTGTGCGTGTCCATTCCGAGAACTGATCTCCGAGAGCCGTGAAGGTCCGGCCAGCCGATTGAGCAACGCCTTGAGGCGACAGCTCCGGGCCGATAGGCCACGCCCCGCGACGTAAGACGCGACGCTCTCGCGAGCGGTTGAGAAGGTCGAAGGGAGCGGAAGATGGTTCCTCGCGAGCCTAGCGATCGTACCTATCTGGTACGCTGGGCTGCGGCCCTGCTCCTCACTCTGGGCGTGGAAAGCGCTCTGGCGCTACCCGAGGTACAGAAACCAGTTTGTGGTCGGGATGAAGTAGGGTTGCTGGGGAGCCCTGTGTCGCGCTCTCCCGCAGCTGATCCCTTCCCCCTGTCGGCCTGAAGTTCACGTATAGTGCCTGAAGCCTCCAGACCACCAGTGCCAGGCGGATCCTGCTCTTGAGTACTCACATTGCCCAGGCGTCCGGAGCCCTCGTCCTGCCCGCCTTCAAATACCTCTGAAATTTGATTTCTTCGCTCCTTAATCTCTGAATAACTTTAACTGTGCTTCCTAAGACGAGGCTTCTGGCTCCTCTGCAAGCCGTGCACGCACGAGTGACGTACCTGGTCCTCCAGTAGAACTGTATTTTGTAATGCTTGATGGGTTCCTTGTGCACCAGCAGCTTTTCACACCTGTCCAATCGGGGCTGTCCGATTGAGAAGTCTTTGGAGAAGGCGTAGTAAATCCGTTCTTCCGGTATTTCTCAAAGATGCGGACCTTGCATAGGCCAGGAGTGGTACTGAATGTGGAGTGCTGATTCGGTGCCTGACCGGGGGAACAAATGGCATGTCCTAGTCTAGCCTTGTGTATGACACAGCCATCTCTCTGCACTGTTAGAGGAATTCTGGAGAGGTGTACTGTCTGTCAATTCTTGATTCCTATTTGTCTTCTTGATTTTTCTTTCGGAGGCCTAATAAGATTTCTGTCTTCTACAGGTATGCACCCAGTGTCCGGGAAGCGTGCAAAATTTGTCGAAAGTGGCCCTTTATTGTAAAGAGTCACCGATCCTCATGGTGCAAGCCCGCTGCTGCATGGATCAGAAGGGCACCATCTTGGGGTGAGGGAGGAGAAGACATCCTTGTGAAACAAGTTAATTGTGTACAAATACAGCTCCAGCTCGTGGTTTCCCGAACGTTGAAGAATGAAGTTGTAAACCAAGAGGAAGTTAGGACAGTTTTTATTGAAAATAAGAAAAAAAGGCTCCTGGTTTCTCTGGGAGGGGAATCCAAAAACTGGAATTTTCATATGTCCTCTCAATCTACAACTAGCAGAGGGTGCGAATTGCTCAGTCGCTTAGTGGCCCCCTACCACAGATGGCGCTGTGAATTTAGAATGACCAGTTGAAACTCAGGCTTTTTAAACCAGTTAGTTATTCAGCCTATAGGGTTTAAAAGAAGGAGATTTTAGGGAAAATTTAGTTTCATTTTTTTTTGGGGGGGTAGTGGGGATTGAACTCCGGCCCTTGTGCTTTCAAGGCAGGTGGTGGAACCACTGAGCTAACTCTGTGGCCTAGTTATTTTGTTTTTTAAGTTCCTTGAACTCAGGAGCTTAGTAGAGGGCCTTGCAACTCCCTGTAGTAGGGAGGGGACTGCATTTCCTGTTGCCTGAGGAAGTTATTTTTGTCCAAAGTGTGAGCTCACTGCCTGTTCTTATTTCTTAGCAATATGGCTGACAATCCAACTCTACCTCACACCCTTTCCCTAGCTAGCTGCCTTTTTCATAAGCTAATTATAAACTGTTGTTTACACTTGGATACTGAAGAAGAGTTCCGAGACCAGAGTTTACAAGCCTTGCCTGATTGACTTTTAGGATTAATATTGGTGCCTGTTTTGAAGCACCTCAACCATGATTCTCAAACTTAAAATTTGTTATAACAGGGCCAGGGATTTTGCTCAGTGGTTCTGCTGCCTGCCTTTCGAGCACAAGGGCCCAAGTTCGATCGCTGTTACCACAAATAAAAGGAGAGTCCTGAGCTCAATTTCTAGTATCAGAAAAAAAAGGAAAAAAAACCCGCAAGGGCGAGTTCGATCCCTGGTACCAAAAAAATATATATATTTTTTTGTTAAAACATTTTTGGCTTAGGTAAACAATCCTGTGGCTTTTCCTGGATGAAACTGCTTAAAATTCATAGTTTTTGACTTTTAAAATAGGTTTGTGTGGTATCATTTCAAGTGGAGCTTTGTACTTTTATTTACTATCAAGTCTTTGGATTATTTACTGTGTGTCTCTAGGAAATTAGCCTCTTAAAAACATTGCTAATATGGCTTTGCTTCCTCTTCTGGTTAATTCATGTTGTCTTTGGAACAAATTCCTCTTCTTGGCTTCTTATGCATTTTAGTCCTACAGTTTGCTCCTTTTGATGCTCCCTAGTTGTCTAATGCTTAGGATTAGGCACTCAGTTCCCAGCCGCCCGCCCCCCACCCATTTTTTCTTTTGAGTCAGGTCCTTGCTGTGTAGTTGAGGCTGACCTTAACTCACTATGTAGGCTAGGATGGCCTTGAACTCGCATCTGTCCTGCGACCTTGGCTTCCTAAATGCTGGGATTACAGGTATGTGCTACCACACCTGGCCAGGAAATATTTTTAATGGGCAAGGCATGCCCTACTGTTCACTCCTTTTCGAGAGTTTATCTTTGTTGCCTCACACATGCTAGGTAAGCACTCTTATCATTCAGCTCTATTCTGAAGCTGCTCCTCTCCCCCCCCCCCCCCGTGACGGTACTCTTAGGGTCTCACAGATTATTTTCAGGGATTCTTTCCAAGTTCTTGGTGTCCTAAACATAGAATTGGACAAAATGTGTGAAAAAGGTAGTGAGGGTTTAAATTTATTAAAGTAAGAAAACAAGTATGCTCTGCACAGTGAGAGCAGGCCACTAAGAGAGTTCAGTGGCCAAGAGGTTAATGGCAGGAGAGGGACAATCTTTGTGGATTCCTCAGCCAGAGTCAGATCTAGGGCTTCTTGTCAAAAGTCTGCTTGGTTTTGCATAAGATATAAATGAAGAAGACAGCACTTTCTGATTAGTCCCAGGTAGAGGGTTTGGGGACTGTATTCTGGGTCTCTGTAACGGACAGGTCACACCCACTTGTCCAGCCAAATTGCCCTGTCCTAATCTGCCTTAGGTTTTGAATTTAGGGTCTCCACACTGAGCTGTATCTCCAGGCCTTTTTCATTTTGAGACGGTCTCACTAAGTTGCCCAGGCTCGGGTGGAACCTTCAGTCCTTCTGCCTTAACCTTTCAGACTGCTGAGATTACCTTGACTATGCCCAGAATTCTCTTAATTTAATCCTGTATATGTAACTGTTGTCCTAAAGATAAAGTTAAAACCAGGAGTTACCATGACTAGTCACAGCTCACTTTTCCAACATTCCAGTTACTTTTCACCCAAGTCCTCTATAAGAGTCTGGCTCCAGCTAGGTTTGCCTACCCCGGAAAGCATTCCACTTTTGTTTCTGTGTTCAGGCCTGTCTCTATGTGGAAATTGCCTTCCTCTACCAAATTAGGACATGTCCATCCTTTAACCCCTGTATCTTTTGTGAATATTCCCTAGATCTAAACCCCAGAGTAATACTTTTCCCCCGTAGAGTATTTGTAAGACTCAAATTTATATATATGCTGCCCTGTGAATTCTGTTATAACTTGATATTTATGTTGCTTTTGTTTTTGGTGATGCTCTTTTTTCCCTACTAAATTGGAATGCATTGGAAGCCAAATACTGGGTTACATATATTGTATGTTTTCCTAGTGTTTGTATTTTGTATAGATAATCATTAAATATTTGCAGAATAAAGGAATGGACACCAACACATATCGAAGAAAAAGTAACGTGTCATGATCCTTATTGTCTACGAGCTTACTGTGATCCACTTGGTTTATGTTTTTGGTTCTTTTTTGTTGCTGTTGTTGTGTGTGTGTGTTTTGTTTTTAAGCCAGGGTTTTGTTCTGGTGCTATGTAGTTGAGGCTGGCCTTGAATTCACTATGTACCCCAGGATGGCCTTCAGTTCCAGCAGATGCACTTGGAAAAACTTTATATGACTTTCCCTCTTTTTTCATTTAGTAATCCCTTGTGGATCTGAGAATAATGTGAGATTCGCTAATTTAGACAAACACAAAATTTCTTCCAGTATATACACAATGCATAAGTATACTGGTTAGAACAGTGTACTCTGGTAGGACTTTCCATGATCATGGAAATGCTTCAGATCTGTACTGACCAGCACAGTAGCCACACTTGAAATGTGACTGGTGCAAATGAAACACTGAATTTTCAGGTTAAAGTAGTGACATATAGCTGGTGTTGACTATGTTGGATAATACGCAATTAAAATATCTGCCATAAGCACTTGGCTTGTGATACCAAACACAGTTGCATTCAGTTAATACTAGCTGAAAAGAGGTTATGTAATCAGATACAAACCTTGCAATGAATGAAAGAGAAACACATAGTTATACTAATTACTTTATTTCTTCAGGCTGGATCTCCAGAACTGTTCTCTGAAGGATCCTGGTCCAAACTTTCCTCAGGCGTATACCGCTGTTGTCATGTAAGTGATTAGTACTCTTCTACCTAAGAGGTGAATGCCACGAAGTGTTGGTAGGAGACTTTGTGGATGTACTGTTGCAGAGGTAGATGAACGTTAAGGTCCAAATTTGGACAACTCAGAAAAAGGGCTGGATTACCAGGCCAGAAAGGTGTGTGAATTCAAAGTGTTTTCCTGAGCAGAGTCCTAACGACATGTGCTTTGCAGAGACCTTCACACAAACCCCCTCGTGGGTGACTTGGGCAACACCTTCCGTGGCTTTACACAACTCGAAACTCTGTGAGTAATTGAGTGGTGGAAGAGAACCAAAGTGGGGCATTGCTGTGAGTTCGGTAACGTTGGTCTGTTGGGGGGTGGTCGGGAAGGGGCTTGAGAATTGAACCCAGGGACTCACACATGCTAAGCGTTTGTTCTAGCATGTAATTTGTTCCCTACCCCTCAGACTGTACATTATGACCGTCTGTGTTGTCTTCAGGTTACTGCCACAAGCTGTCAGCTGTCCTGGAGGTCGTAATGCTTGGGAACATGTGAACTCTTACGTGAACTACAAAATCTGCCAAGGTCAGAAGAACCTTTGCAATAACACTGGGGAACCAGGTATGCTCTCTCACCTCCACCTTTCTGGAAACTTCTTTCCTTCCATATATTCTCCACTTTAGCTCTCAGAATGATAAAAATAGTTAAGTGCTTTTTGTTCAGAATTTGAGGTCCTGACCCCTTAAGAAAAGATTTTTTTTTTCTGTACTGGAAATCAAACTCAGGACCTTACACTTGTGAGGCAAGTGTGGTGCCACTGAGCTAAATCCCCAGCCCTTTGAAAAGATACTGTTGTTTTATTCTGATATTTGTAAACTTTTGACCTAGAAATGACTTGACTTTTTTAATTAAAGCAAATATTTGAGAAATATATCTAATGACATCTAGTGCTATTCCTTATTTCTCTGGCTCCCAGAAATGTGTCCTGAAAATGGATCTTGTCTACCTGATGGTCCTGGTCTCTCACAATGTATTTGTACTGATGGCTCCCACGGATACAAGTGTATGCGCCAGGTAAGAAATGAAGGATTTCTTTTTATTCGGGATAATGGCCTTCATAAGGCAAGAATTTTTTTTTTTCTTTACCGGGGATGGAACTCTGGACCTTGCACTTGAGAGGTAGGTGGCAGAACCACTGAGCTACATCCCTGGCTAAGACAAGAATCTGAAAGAAGAGCTACAAAACAGCTGGTGTCAGTCACCTGGAGGAAGGAAACTAGGAAAAGAAGCAGGTGTTGGGATGTAGCCTTCTGTGTAACACTTTTTCCCCCGTTAATCACAGGGCTCCTTCCCAGTGCTTATGTTCTTCGGGATTCTGGGATCCACCACTTTCTCCATCTCCCTCCTGCTTTGGGGAACTCAACGCCGAAAGGCCAAGACTTCATGAACCCCATAAGGCTTTCTTTTGATCTACGGTCGTCTTGATCAGTCCTAGCCCAGCCAGGGAGATTTGCTTCCTTGACAGGCGTCATTGGGCCATGGCTCCTCCTCAAGACCGAGGCTGCTGTGGAAGGAAGATGAAAAATTGTATCACCCTGGAATGTTCTGGACACTCAGGGTCACCAGTGGACTCGTACAATTCTCATTTGTGCTGTTGACTACAATAAACGTCTTTTTTCCCTTTTAGGGAACGGCACCCTGTGTTTGCGCGCGTCCTGCTTGGGCTGAGT